AGGGACTGCACGGAGGACTGCTCTGGTGTCTGGGGAATAAAAGGGGAAGCAGCGAAGAGAAAATAGGGCTGAGCTGTGGACTTTTACTGTCTCGAGGGTGCAGCCATTTTGGATGTTTACAAGCGGCTTAACCATTTTGGATATTTAAAGTGACAGTATTCTCCGAGATTCTGGGGACTTCAAAACAGGCTCCACTTGCCGGGAACCCCAAGGACATTCTGGACCCAGACAACTGGAAAGATGCAATGTTCCCCTTGTAACTCTTATAACCCACACCCTCTAGGTAAACAGAGGTGTGGCCATCCCTCACTCCCATCCACTTTCTGGGCTGGCAGGAATTCCATCCCAGTCTGTGTGCTCGGACAGAGCTTGGGTGCCCTGCCTCGCCCTGATATTTTTTTCTTTTTCTGTTTTTCAGTTTGTTTGTTTTTGTCTGTTTTAAAACTATTATTATTATTACTTTTTTCCTTTTTACTATTATTCTTTATTCTTTCACCACCCAGGTTCTAGTTGTCAGCTTTTTTTCTTTTCCCTGTTCCTGGTTGCAATTTTTTTTCCTTTCTCATGGTCAACCCCATTCCTTGTTTTTCTTTTTGTGTTTTTCCCATTTTTTTCTTCATTACTCTTCTTCTCTACCATTTTTCTCTTATTGGCCTCTCCCCCGATACTGCTTTTTTTTTTTTTTCCTTCTTTCTTTTTTTGGTTACTGTTCCTGTGTGATTACATGGTATATATTCGTCCCTTTGCTTTTATTTTTTTTTTTTATGATTATTCAATTAGTTTTGTCTAACTGAGTGGAAGACAGCAACAGTTCCCATACGACACAACTATATCCACACCACCTGCAGCTTCACTAACTGAGTGAAAGCTATCAATTCCTTCTCCACCAATGGGCCAACAATAAACAACCACCAAGAAGAGCCTGAATCACCCTTGGCTGCTCTTCACAAACAGTTAACAGAGATCTAAATACAACAATGCCACAATCTCTCAGAGACAACAGACCATCACAGTCCACACAAAGAAGCAAGATAAAGTGGTAGAAACAAGGGAGCAGGATATAGACGCAGAACACATCCTTGAGGAAGAAGCACCATTGGAACGCTCTAATAAGGAATTCAAAAGAATTATATTTAGGTATCTTCAAAGGATGGAGAGACAGACCAAGGAAAACACAGACAAAATACTAGAAGAATTTTGGAAGAAAATACAAGAACAAAATGACAAAATAAGCGAAAAATTAGAAATGATTCTAAATCTACATATAGAAATCCAGAAGATTAATATTTAAGTGTCAGAATTAGATAACACATTGGAAGGGCAAAGGAGTAGAACTGATGAAATGGAAGACAGAATTAATGAGATTGAAGAGAAATACCTGAATATTATATATCCAGCAAAACTGTGTATCAAAATGATGGTGAAATTAGACTTCCAGATAAGCAGACTCTAAGGGAATTTGTTAAAACCAGACCAATCTTACAAGAGATACTAAAGGGAGTCCTTTGAACAGAGAATCAAAAATAGCAAATAAGAACCACCATTAATACACAAGACGACATAACCCAGAAACCACAGCTATGGACATATCCAAAGTAAAAGAAGATTACAAGATTGTAAACAGGGAACCAGAGACATCAATTGGCAAGTGAGGACAACTACAAACAAAAAGAGGAAAAATAATGTATAATTACAGAACTTCTAAATGGTGAGGAAATTAAGAGCATTGCAAGATAGAATGGACTGTTCTAATTGCGGGGAGAAAATTATAAATCACAGGGTAACCTCAAGGAAAAATGATAAACCTTCACATCACAATAAAAAAGAGAACAAGCACAAATACTCAGCAAATACTAAAACAACAGCAACAAAGGAAATAATAACACTATGCATAAATATAATGAGCTCAGCACAGAAAATAATATGGAACAAAGAAACCTGGGACAGCATGAAAAAACACATAACAAAATGACAGCAACCAATTCATACTTGTCAATATTACACTGAATGTTAATGGATTAAATGCACCACTCAAGAGAAGGAAAGTTGCAGATTGGATAAGGAAACAAAACCCATCAATATGCTGCCTAGCAGAGACACACCTTAAATGAAAAGACAAAAATAGACTAAAAATCAAAAGTTGGAGAAAGATATATCAAGCGAACGGCAATTATAAGAGAGCAGGAATGGCAATATTAATTTCTGATCAAACTGACTTTAAGACAAAAACCACCATACAAGA